AACACCCAGTGCTCCATGCAGAACGTGCCCTCTTTAATACCCATCACCAGGCTAACCCATCACCCCACCCCCCTCCCCTCTAGAACCCTCAGTTTGTTTTTCAGACTGACTTTAATTCGGAAATGTTTCTCTTTAAATGTTATGTAAATCTCTGCGACTGGTTTAGCAGCATGCGAGCTTATGAGATGATCTTGTGTTGTTCCAGGATAAATGCTGTGTCCAACGCTCAAGTGAGGGGGGACAGCTATGAAAGCGGCTGTTTGGGAAGAACAGGTAAAGGCACTTTTGAGTTTTAAGTGCACTGGCAGACAGGGATTTGAAGGCAGGAGAAAAAAGTCTCTTTATATAGGACTAGTTAGGATTACATAAAATTTTTTTTATTAACTTTGAAAAAAAGTTTTGGTGTTACTTAAATCCTTAATGAAGTTAAAGTTACCGCCAGAAGTACTACTTTAGTCATGTTTTACTGCTCATAGTCTATAAGTAAAATGTTATTATTTAAAATCAATGGCTCTTGGATTCCAGGTTACTCCTTCTGCAAAGCTAATGATGACTTTAGGATTTAATTAATCAATTACTCAATTTAGTCATGGAATTACTTAGAAGCTCCCCTAGCTTAGTTTGCCAGGGTTTCTCTAGCCCACAGAAAGGTGATTCTCCTTTTTTCTCTTCCCAAGTATGGCTTAACCCCTTTAATTGTTCATCTTTTAAATCTTCATTCAGTTCATTGTTATAGCAGGTGTATGCAAATATGTGACTGTCTTTGATATGCATACCATGTATTAGGTTAATAGTGTTTCCAGTGTTAATGCATTCTTCAGACAGCTGCAGACATGAGCAAAATCGTAAAGCCTATTCTTCATGCAGGTGCTCGAGTTTGGCTCTTCATTGGTTTCATGTTGATGTTTGGGTCACTTATTGCTTCCATGTGGATCCTTTTTGGTGCATATGTTACCCAAAGTAAGTATTTATTCCTGTTTTTTTTCATAGAGACTCAGATATGTCTTTTACATTTAGCTTAGTCCGTCAACCCCACCTGGAGTAAAATTTAGTCTAACTATTCACTTAGCTTGAAGATACATAAGTTGTTTGATAAAACTTCTCAGTGGGGTCCTTGATTGCAGTGGGATAGCCTGGTTGTGGAATCTAAGCCACTGACAAGACCAGGTAACAGGCCATCTCTAGAGTGTCTGATTTCCTTCCTTACCCTGGACAGCCAGGCTCTATACCAGAGGTCCGTTTACTGAGGGTTGTAAGTGGTAAAGTGAGAAGCCTGTACAGATCTGCAGTATCTTATATGTAATTCTAAAATCCACAAAGTGCTGAAAGTCAGGTTTTTCATAATCAGCTTGGCAGCAAAACCTGACCTAAGTTGACAGGGGGCTCCTTATGGTCTTTATTCCATTGAATAAGTATTCACGTATTTTCTTGCTGGAATGTGGTTGTATTTGATTGTGGATGCTGGTCCAAACAGAGCTGGGGTGCTCTGTAATATTTATGCCCTGTGTTAACCATTCTTAAATGTGCAAATTTTTGAATTCCAAAACATACCTTGCCTCAAGGATTTCTGCTCACGGGTGTGAACCCCGATATCTTTCCACGGATATCTCCTCTCTCCAACCCAGCCTGGAATTTTTCAGGCATAGGTGCAGGGGAGGCTTTTAGGGGTAAGACTGAATATGTGTGTGTAGCCTTCATACAGAAACTTGATGCTCACTCCACTCAGTGGCGTGAGCTCTCAGTGCACCGTTCTGAGCAGCTGCTCCAGGCACCATAGCTTTCCTCCAGGGTGGGTGGAGAGGCAGGACCCAGTCCCAGAAGAACCCCTTTCTCTCTCTTCACTCCGAAGACAGGAGTCTGTTTCAGATAACACGTAACACCACTTACTCATCTTCTGACCCCTCTACCCCCAGAATCTTTGTCACTCTGCTTAACTGTCACGTCTCCTTGTTCTTACCCACAGCTGACCTTTTAATACTGTTATAGGACCCCTTCAGTTCCTAGTTCAATCTTTGGAAACTTTGTTTTTCACTTGGCACAAAATAAGTTAGTACAAGTGGTTGGCTACTGTTTAAATAATACTGCTCATCAAGTGTATCTAAAATGTGTTATTTTAGGGGTGCTTGGCTGGCTCAGTCGGGAGGCTGTGCAACTGTTGACCTCAGGGTTGTGAGTTTGAGACCCCAATTGGGTGTAAAGATTACTTAAAAATAAAGTGTTATTTTAGTTATTAAAAATACTAACGGAGTACACAGTTCTAGTATGAAGCTCATGTGAAGGAAAGTGCTTTTTTTTTTTTTAAAGATTTTATTTTATTTGACAGAGAGAGCACAAGCAGGGGGAGGGGCAGGCAGAGGGAGAGGGAGAAGCAAGCTCCCCGCTGAGCAGGGAACCCAATGCGGGACTCAATCCCAGGACTCCAGGATCATAACTTGAGCCGAAGGCAGACGCTTAACTGACTGAGCCACCCAGGTGTCCCTGAAAGTGCTTTTTTATTTTTATTTTATTTTTTATTTTTTTTTAAAAGATTTTATTTATTTATTTGACAGAGAGATAGCGAGAGCAGGAACACAAGCAGGGGGAGTGGGAGAGGGAGAAGCAGGCTTCCCACCGAGCAGGGAGCCCGATGTGGGACTCAATCCCAGGACCCTGGGATCATGACCTGAGCCGAAGGCAGATGCTTAACGACTGAGCCACCCAGGCGCCCGAAAGTGCTTTTTTAAAAACAGCTTTACTGAGATGTAATTTCCATTTAAAGTGTATATTTCAGTGCTTTTAGTATATTTAGAGTTATGCTACCATCACACAATCCAATTTTATTTTTTTAAAGATTTTATTTAAGAGAGAGTAAGAGTGGGGGGAGGGGCAGAGGGACAAGCAGGCTCCCCGCTGAGCATGGAGCCCTATATGGGGCTTGATCCCAGGACCTTGAGATCATGATCTGAGCCAAAGTCAGACGCTTAACCAACTGAGCCACTGAGGCGCCTCACACAATCTACTTTTAGAACATTTTATCACCCCAAAAAGAAACCCCTTACCCATTAGCAGTGACTTCCCATTACCTTTCTCCATCAGGCCTAGGCAACCACTAAGCTACTTTCTGTCTTTGTAGATTTGCCTATTTCATATAAATGGAATCATATAGGGAAGTGTGTCTTAATCTCACTCTATCCCTGACTCTTAAGTGCTATTACTGATTTCCTTGAAAAGTCTGCTTAGTTACTTCAAGCAACAGGTGAAACTTTCTGGTTTCTACTATGAAAATGGGTATAAATTATCATTTCTGGAAGGTGCGTAGGGAAGTATTAACGTTTGTAAATGTTGTGCACTCATTGGTTGTATTTTAATTTTTAAAGACCTAGTACACATTGAGAAATTTCTCAATTATGGATTTCATCTTTGTATTCCTACAGCAATACTCATTATATATATTTTTCTGTTTATAAACTGAATATGCTTTTACTTCAGAGAGCATTTCTAACACATAGTTCAGATCTTTTGCTGTACAGATTTTCTTGACCTATTACTAATCATAATAGCAGCTAACATTTATACAGCACTTTATGGGCCAAGTACTGTTCTAAGCACTCTATGTGGTCATACATTCCTCACTCTCTGTCTGTGGGGTAGGTGCTGTTATAGTGCCCACTTTACAGGTGAGGAAACTTAAGGGCATAATAAGGTTAAATAATTTGCCCACGGTCATACATTTAGTCACTTGGTAGAGTTAGGATTCACATCCGGGGATCTGTCTCAGACTTGGAGCTCTTGACCATGCTGTTGTATTGTTTGCTATGGTATCGAAAGCTAAAAATTGAAGGTTTTTTTCATCAGGTCTAGTATTTTTAATTGACAGTTCATAGTTTTATAAAAGTTAAAAATCCACAAAAATTTAAGTAGTTTCCAGTTTTTTTTTCTCTTCCTTTGAAGATAGTAACTTTCTTTCAGGGGAGATTCAGTGAAAGAACGTGATGAAGAATTAAAATGATCCTTTCTGTATCTGTAAGATTTGCACAATAAAACTCCTGAATTCATGAAAGAAAATAAGTGTACAGACTATTAAATCATCAAGAATTTAATGTGTACCTTTCTAACATTTCATATTTCTATATAGTAGTTTCCCCCCCATCTTATCCGCGACTGTTATGTACCAAGACCCCCATGGACGTCTGAAACCGTGGATGGTACTGATTCCTAACTATACTATGATTTCCCCATACATAAGGACCCATGATAAAGTTTAAGTTGTAAATTAGGCACAAGAAGAGATTAACCACATGACTAATAATAAAATGGAACAATTATAATAGTATACTATAATAAGTTCAAAATATCTTGTACTGTACTCACCCTTCTTGTTCCGGTGATGATGTGAGATGGTAACACGTCTGGGTGATGAAATGGAGGGAGGTGAGTGACGTAGGCATGTGACGTAGCCTTAGGTTACTGTTGACCTGATGATGATGAGAAATCAGAAGGACGATCGTCTGCTTCTGCATGGTGGTTGACCATGCATAAGTGAAACCTCGGGAGGCGAAACCGCAGATAAAGGGGAGAGCGCTGTATTGACCATGGAAAGTAAAGGGAGGAGCTGCTGCTTCCTCAGCAGTTCTGGCTCAGCTACAAGCATAGCGATTACTGTAGACAAAAAAAACCTATGAAGTTCACCATCTTTTATCCAGAGTGAAAACAGTCCTTTGTTTTGGGAGAACGAGATTGACATTTTCTTCCTTCAATTTCATTATAGATTTCTTAGCGTTAATGAATAATAGCCGTATTTTATAACATCTAGAGCATGTCATTAGGAGTGGCACAAATACTTTGTCACTGCCATTTGCCTTGTGTAATCTTCTGATCCATTTCACTTTGTGCAGATACCGATGTTTATCCAGGACTGGCTGTGTTTTTTCAAAATGCACTTATATTTTTTAGGTAAGTTGCCTAATTTTTTTTTTTTTTTTGGTGCAAAATGGTGGTTTTATTAAAGCACGGGGACAGGACCCGTGGGCAGAAAGAGCTGCTGCCAGTTGCCTAATTTCTTAACCACACCTGAAACATTTACAGAAATGTCACTTCATTATAAGAGCAGCATACAGAATGTATAAATCCCTTGAATTAGTTACAGTGTATAGAACTTCTTTGAAAAGGTAAAAATTCCACTATTGTATAAGGGCATACATAAACTATTTAACTGGGGTCCTGCTATGAGCTGAGAGCTCAGCTGGTTGATTTATATATGTCACCTTTTCAATTCCCATGTAATTGTCTTAAATACTTACTACTTACCAACCAGGTGGTGTTCCCGTTTTATAGATGAGGAAATAAGGCTCAGAGCCTACTTAATGACAAGTAATTGCAGAGTTGGGACTTGAACTCAGACTACTTCCATAGCCTGTTAAAAAACCATATCAGGGGGCGCCTGGGTGGCTCAGTTGGTTAAGCGACTGCCTTCGGCTCAGGTCATGATCCTGGAGTGCCAGGATCGAGTCCCCGCATCGGGCTCCCTGCTCGGCAGGGAGTCTGCTTCTCCCTCCGACGCTCCCCCCTCTCATGCTCTATCTCATTCTCTCTCAAATGAATAAATAAAATCTTTAAAAAAAAAAAAACACCGTATCAGGTACCTTTATTAAAAAAAGAAATCAGAATTAATACATATGCATGCCGTATACAAAACCTGGTTAGGAAATTGGATTTTTTTGTTAAGTTTTTAAGAAAACTAAAAGTAAAAATAAAAATAAAACAATATTAGAAGTATTTTATAGGGGTAGTCTTCTGAAAAAAACCCCAAAAAACCCTAAAATGAAGCTCGTGGGGTGCCTGCGTGGGTTAGTCAGTTAAGCATTTGGCTCTTGATCTCAGCTCCAGTCTTGATCTCAGGGTCATGAGTTTGAGCCCTACATTGGAGCCTACTAATAAAAAAATTTTAAGCTCATATCCTATGCTTTCCAGAATGAATGTCTTTTAATGTAAATATAAGTATTTTAGGCATCCATTTATAAATTTATACCCCCCAACCTCACAAAATCATTAGAATATAAGCCTTGAAGAACTTTGTTTTCGTCACTGTTTTTAAGCAATCTGATTACAGTGTTCCCTTTGGCAGCACATATATTGATCAATCTGATTATGATGTGCTGTGATGTAATTTTCTGCATATTTATTCTTTTGGGGGTTCATTGAGTTTCTTGGATCTGTATGTTTAGTTTTCATCAGATTTGGAATCTTTTTGCCATTACTTCTTCAAAGATTTTTTTTCTGTCCATCCCACTGTCCTCGGAGTCCAGTTACATGTATACCGGGCTGCTTGAGTCATCCCACACCCATGAGTGCTTTGTTCTGTTTTTGTTTTTGTTTTCTGTCTGTGTTTCATTTGGGATACTTGCTACTGTTATATCTTTAAGGTCACTAGTCTCTTCTGCAGTGTCCACAGTCATTCCCATCCAGTGTACCTGTCAGTTCAGACATGTGCATTTCATCTCCGTTTGCTTGATTTTCCATATTTCTTAGCATGCTCACGCTCTCCTCCACCTTCTTGAACATATGATGTATGTTTATAACCATTTCAGGGTCCCTTGAATTGTGTCAGTTCTGAGTCTGTTCCTGTTATTGCTACTTTGTCTTCATTTTGGGTCTTTTTCCTCCCATTTGCTTCTTTGCATGCAGCTGGTGGGGGGCTGGATTTTTTGGCATTCCTTTAAACATTTTTGAGCTTTGTTCTGGGTGCACTTGGGTCGCTTGGAAACAGTTTGATCCTTTTGAGTCTTGCTTGTAAGCTTTGGAGGGCAGGACTAGAGCAGCTGGAGGCTAGGACTGATGCGCCCCCTTACCAAGGCGGTGCCCTTCATGTGCCGTGTATTCTGAGGCGTCCCAACTCCGCTTAGGAGACTGTGAAGTCTTCCCGGCCCTGTGACAGCTCTGGGAGTGGCTCCTTCCCTTTCCTTGGGTAGTTTCTTCGCATTCATCTGCTGATCAGTACTCGGCAGAAGACTCAAGGGGAGCCTCCTGCGCATCTCCTGTGCTCCCTCTCTAGCTGTCTGTACTCTCCCTCCCAAATTCCAGCCCCCTTTGGCCTCTCTGTACTCTCAGCTCCATTCCCCCAGTTCAGGGAGACCGCTGTGCTCTGCCCTCTTACTGCACCATGGCCTGGAAACTCGTGGCTTTGAAAGATGTTTGACAGTTTCTGCTGTCTTGTGATCGTGTTTCTTGGCATGTGACCAACAACCTTCTGGGGGATACAGTTAAGTTTTCCTGAAGACATCTTAGGCACTGTTTTATTTTTTAAAAAGATTTTTATTTATTTATTTATTTGACACAGAGAGAGAGCACAAGCAGGGGGAGCAGCAGAGAGAGAGGGAGAAGCAGATTTCCTGCCGAGCAGGGAGCCCAGTGCGGGGCTTGATCCCAGGACCCTGGGATCATGACCTGGGCCGAAGGCAGATGCTTACCTGACTGAGTCACCCAGGAGCCCCAGGCACTGTTCAGAGATCAAATTGAGATTCAGATTCAGCCCTTGGTGGGGGTAGATGAGACCACGTAATTGACAGTTGGATGAACAGAAACCTTGCATGGGGAAAGGCCTGCGCTCATGGGGACTGGCTGCTACACTGGCTGGTAATGCGAGATCAGCTGTGTGCTCTGCTCAGAGCCTGGCAAGTTAAGCAGCCAGCTGGGCGCCTCCTCTCAGTACCGGAGTGCAGCCACTCTGCCTCTGCTTCCTTTGCAGCTGGCCCTCCCACCCACTGGCCCTCCACTTCTGCAGTTTCTTAAGGCTCCAGTCGGGGCCTCTTTTCCTTCTAAGTGAGCTTCTTTCTGCTCAGGACTTCGATTACTGCATATATGCCGATGAGTCACAGACGTCTATCTCCACGTCTGAACCGTGTGTCCAGTGTCCTATTTATCTTGAGTGGCTGACATTTCAAATCCAGCACATCCAACATGCCCGCAGCTCAGTTTCTGGTCCTTGCGTGCCCCACCTCTCTGCTCTTCTCCCACTTTCCCCTCCGCCGTACTTCGCTGAGATCATTCCCACTCTTCTTTTAGATCTCAGTTCAGCCATTTTCTCCGGAAGACCTTCTTGACTTCTCTAAACTCGGCGGATCCTTCTATTTCACTCCCTCGGCACCAGGTGCATCACCTTGACAGCATTTTTTTTTAGCTGTTGGAATTTGTCTCCCTCAGGCTGTCAGCTCTATTCGTGAGCACCATTGGCCTTGTTTTCACTCCTACATTCCTAGCACTTTGCTAAGAGCCTGCGGCCTTGCCAGGCCTCCTGGTACAGTAATTACATGGAAAATGTACGAAGAATTGCAGCATGGTCTGTTTTTAAGATTCTTCAGTTGCTGTAGAAACCCAGAGTTAAAAGGAGCCCTAATGCTGCCACTATGAGAAATTCCCCTATTCCTTACAAGTTTCCTATCTAATAACTTTCCAGGCTTTAAGAAAGCGTGTTTAATCAAGTTTAGCCATCAAGGTCAACAAATTGCTGTACAAAACAAGCACATTCAGACCAGCACCACTGTGGTCTTTTTGTTTAGAAATTGATACAAAGGAACCAGGGAGGTACCTGTCAAAGCATATTTAGAAAATGAATTCTTTGTTGCTCATTCCCATGCATTGTTTCCTCATGATTTATTTTCATATCTTTTAGCACTCTGATCTACAAATTCGGAAGAACTGAAGAGCTGTGGACCTGAAAGCACTTCTTAGATCACATTTCCTTTTGTTTTGTTATATTTGTAGATAAGTTTTTCTCTCAACATAATTTACACATTGCCAAATGGGATAGATTGTACATTAAGTGTTTTGTTTCTTGACACTTTTATGCTCTGAGTTTTGAAATAGTTTTATGAAGTTTCTGTCCTTTTTTAAAATCATTGAATAGATTGTTAATATGTACATATACAAAACTATATAGATGGGATGATGAGTATCAGTTTTTTATTCCTGAAGACTTAAAGCTTGATCTGTTCCCTGAGCCAGGGTTGTATCTTCATGTCATCTTGGAGTTTTGTTTTTAGTATCTTTAGTTTTAGTATCTTTAATTTCTGAAGATGTGCAAAAAAAAAAAAAAAAAAATTTAGCTCCATGCATCTGAAATAAGCACTGAGCCATTAACAAGGGTATTTCAGCAAGTTGTAATTTATTTTGGCTTAAAAATGAGATTTTTTAAAAGGAAAAATGTTTGTTCTTATGTATTAAAGAAATGGACTTTTATATGAAGATTTTTTAAATGCCTGAAGGACTAGTTTGAAAGCCTCTTTTAAAAACAGTTTCTCTAACGTGACTTTGAGAAGGGGTAATGCGTGATCAGGTGCGCTCAGTTTTATGTGGTCAGTGTGAAAAGGCTGTGCGACAGGTCAGCAGCTTCGGGTAACAACAGCTCCAACGGTCTGTCTAATGGGGCTCTCTGGGCGGGCTGCTCTTCTCTGACGCTCAAGTTCAGCATCAAGTGAGTGTGAGACAGCTGCAGTGTAAGAGCATGAACCATATAGCAAAAACTGGAATAATTAGTTTCAAG